ATGCACCTTGGCTTAAGCGGTGTCATCCGATACCGCTTCATCGGAAAAGTTTACTAAATATGTTATTAACATGCAAAAATAACATATGTAGAATATTACTTGAACTGGATATTGCGTCAGCTCGCGTGGTTAAGTGCATCTTTTGCTTCTCTTAGGTCGTGAGTACAAACCCCACCAGCAGCATACGTTTTTTATTTTAAGAATTTTGTGCCCTATCTATTAAAAGATTACTCTTATATTAACTTCTAGGATGCTAGTCCATTGTTAGTTGTCATGTTTTTTTTGTGTGTAGAGGTTATTTAAGAACAATTTGCAAAATCATGCGAATGATAAGGTTTTGAGTAATTATTTGATGCTTTTATAGAAAAAAAAAAAAGAGGTATTTGGAAATAATTTTTAATGAGGATACCAAATAGAACTAAAAAATGACGAATTCAACTTAAAAAAATAAATACTCATCGAGGAGAGTTGTATTAATAGTTTTTTTTAATATGATTCGAACTGTATTTTTTAATTTATTCATTTTCTTAAATATCGATACCGCTTAAGAATAATCCTGCCTACGCCCCTGAGTTGTACTGCCGAAAGAAAAACTTTGTGAACTTCATCCAACTATAGTCAGACCTCTCTATAACAGTATCCATATATATCAGTCATTCACTATAAAATTCAAGTTTTCCTTGGAACCGATTTTTTAAGTTATATTTTACCTTTCTATAACAACTTTTTACCTATAACAGCAACGGTTGTATTTATAGTAGAACGCTCTTTGTAAAATTATCTTATCTATAATAGCTATATAGAATCTTTAAGATTACTAATAACAATTCTAGAAATATGCACACAATCTTTTCCATTGAACAAAGTTTCTATCTTGCATAAGGCACAAGATTTGAAGATCTGCATATGATATATTTTTCATTAGATACCTTTTTGTTGAAAATTTGGGCACGAGTCTTCGTCAATTCGGGTGTTATATCGGTAGTAAGAGAATGAAATCTACGAAACAGCTACAATTACAAAATTCTTCCATCAATTTTGAAAGAATTTATTTTCCTAGTAGCTTTAAAATGTGTGCCTTAGAGTTTAAATCTTTGTACGTTTAGTTAATGAATTTATTAATAATGTATTAGCTTTCTTCAATATATACCTAGTGAAATGCATATCTTCTGAGATTTTAAATTTGAAGAATTTTCTTATCTTTTATATGTAATATTAAAAAATAAAAAATAAATAATTTTTGGATAAGTTCTATCTATAACAGCCAAAAGAATATTTAAATGTCAAATGATGTTATAGGTGTATAACAGTCATTCGCTATCAAAGCAGAAAAATCTCGTAATAAACGACGTTACTATAGAGCGGTTTGACTGTAGTTAACTCTTTTTAATTTGGATTCTATAATCTTTTTTGTTTGGGAAGAGAGAAATACTTTTAGATGGGTGGAGGAAACGGATGAAATCGGGTCATTTAATTTCCATAGGGACACGTGGCTTCAATCAAGATGTGTATTGAAAAATGAAAATTTACTTCCTTTGGCAAACTAACACCCTATTTATTGCTCCATGCATTCACTTTACTCTTATGTTTCCTTTTACTTGTTCATTATTGATTTTGCACACTCTTTAGGAAATAATAAATAAAATATATAATTTACCATGATACCCATATTAATTGGTGTATAGTCTTAATGGATTTGAAAAATGATTCGGAAAGAGAAATTAATGCTAAGGGCAAAATAGAAAAAAAATTTATTTTTCTCTTGAAATGCGAAAAATGACAAGTAAAAATGAAAATTTATTTTTAGAATACTTGACAATTAAAAGTGAACGGAGGGAGTACTTGTCAAGTATTCCATAAATAAATTTTTATTTTTACTTGTCACTTTTCGCAGAGAAAAATAATTTATTTTTATGTTTTGCCCTTAGTATTAATTAGACAAGAGTGGGTTGCTCTACTGGTGAGCACCCTCCACTTCGAACCAAGAGGTTGTGAGTTCGAGTCACCCCAAGAGCAAGGTGAGGAGTTCTTGGAGGGAGGGATGCCAAGGGTCTATCAGAAACAGTCTCTCTACCCCAGGGTAGGGGTAAGGTCTGCGTACACACTACCCTCCCCAGACCCCGCAAGTGTGATTATACTGGGTTGTTGTTGTTGTTGTTGTTGCCCTTAGTAATAATTACTCATTCCAAATTATTTTTCAAATCCATTAAGATTGTACACCAATTAAGATGGGTATCATGGTAAATTATGCACTTTACTTATTATTTCTTAAGGGGGGTGCGAAGCCAATAATGGATAAGTAAAAGTGAACCGGGGGGGGGGGGGGGGGGGAGTATAAACCAAAACAATTTTAAAATATTATTACTCATACTTTTCTATTTTATAGCAAAACATGTATTTATTCAATTCCCTACCATTGAGGCGTGAAATATGCCAATTATGTTTTTTATTTCTCTCTTCCTTCTCTCTCTATCAACAAGATTCTCAATCCTTTCTTTTCTCCTTCAAATCTCTCTCCTTTTTCTATCGAGGCAGCCGTCGTACCAGCCATTTTTGGTGGCGATGGTGGACTTTCTGAAGCGAAGAGAATAGGTCTGAAACAAAGAGGGAGTAGGCGAACAGATCTGGTCATGGCTACGAATTGAGCTTTTGAAAATATGAAGCAGAGTCGCCGGAGAAGATTTGAGGGCGGGATTTTGTTCGTCTTCATTTTCAGTTTTAATACAATATATACAGTATTTTGCTTGGCCGGAAAACGCCATCTTCGGCAAACTTTCTTCTCTTCTTTGCTATTGAGTCAATACAAATACATTGCATCCTGTACAAATGCATATGTTTGTATAAATACATTATATTTTCGCTTGTATTTAAATATTTCAAAGGTCTGTATTTTCTAATACAGCCAAATATCACTATTTTGTGATTTTTTATTGTTTGAATATAGTCGAACTGAATATGGTGAATTAAATACAATGTATAATAGTGAAGAATTTATATATATTAATAAAGCTGGGCATTGAGAAGGTGATGTGGCATCCCTCTATGTCCAGCAATTGCATTTATCTATTATCTCCTTTTTTTGGCATTTTTACCTTTTTCCTTCACATTCAATTCAATAAATAAATAAATAAAAACTGTATTAAACAAGAAGCAAGCGTTGTTTGAAACGTTTCTTGGGTCATTTATTGGAGAGTCCAATCGTTTCTTGGAAGTCCAAGATAAAACAACGGCCCCTTCCTCAAATATAAGACAAGCCAAATTTGGAACCAATGGTGGCAGACTTTCAATTCGGATTTCGAGTATGAAATCAGCGATCATCATCTGTTGTCAAATTTTATCATCCTCTTAACCAATTCAAGGTATTCTTACTTTAATATTAAGGGTTTTTGCTTTGCTACTTTTACTATCCTTCAAAGCTTATATTTGTCTCACCTTACAACGTTTCTTTTGAGAGCAATAATTGGGCATATCCTGGAATGGGTTGTGCCTTCTTTAAAAACAAATTAATATTTTGTATTAAATAAAAAAAAATTTGTGACAAATGGTTGAAACTTATCTGTATGTCTAATTTGAGGATATTGTTACAACTTACATATATGTATGCCATTTAGATTACACATATGCGTTACATTGTTAAATTATTATTTTCAATCTACAATTTGAATGGGGGAGGTATATGTGATTGGGTCAATGGATTTCTCCCGCTGTGTCAAGTGGGAGAATACTTTTGTTTATAACTGAGAATGTATTGTGCATTTTATAATTTCTCCTGCAAAATATGAAAATATATCATCATATAGATTCTATGTCGTTCTCAAATGATGTTATGCTTGACAATTATATTACGATTATTTGTGGTTTAGATTTCTTAGAATGAATAGGCGTGAATAAAATTTATAAATATGAAATGAGTCTAAATAGAGCAGAGTGGGAATTAATGACTTTTCTTTGTCCTCCTCTTTCAACTTTTTCTCCTTTGTTTTTCATTTTTGAGAAATAATTTGTTTATGTCTATTTTTGCCGTGATTGTTTGGCAACGAACATATATTTTGTATTATTTGAATTAATATAATATCACAAAAATACATAAATATATATAAAAGAAATTAAACTTTGAGGTGAACGTTGATTAAATGTCGTAAAAATGAAAATTTCTCAATATTCATTAAGTGTTTTAAAAGTTATATTTTCTCTCTTCTTCCTTTTATACGTTATTTTGGAAATATAAGAATACTCCACATACAATAGTAGAGAAAAAGAATAATGCAAAGATATTATAGAAATAGAAAACTAAACCTTGCATTGAATTTTAAGTTTCAGTCTATACAATATTTCTTGCAAAGGAGTGTGTGTATATATATATATATATATAGATACACTCCTTTATCTTTCCTTTATTTGCTAAAGATCACATTTATCTTTCCTTTTTTTTTTTTTGCTTCTTTTCTCTCATTGTTTTCTTTTTTCATATTCAAATTATGTTAGAAAGCCCAAAAGTTTGTATTAAGAAACTAGATGTGTGTTGCCCGAGCTAAGGCCGGGCCCAACATATCGGTTCATAAAATATGAAATACATTTTACTTTTACTTAATAAAAAGTGAAGAAGCACCAGTAAAAGAATGCATAGAAATGTCAAAAAATGAGACTTTCTCGAGGAAATGTGCACCGATAAAGAGAGGAAGCACCCTATAAGTACTACACCCTGTTATGTCCAATTTAACTTGCACAACACAAACTATATGCATCAATGACTCTAATCTAGCATTCAAGACATGCTCCAGAATCGGCATCGGTTAGCCGTCATATCTAACATATCTGTTACTATTATACTAAAACAATAAAATTTACTCTTCGTATTTCTTTGAAAAGGTAAATAGACAATTTTTCTAACATATGCTCAGCTCTTTTTTTTGCTCATTCAATGATTCTTTAGTGTTACCTACCACTCCCGCCATATAGAAAATACTAAGATATAGCTATTCGTTTGCCTGTGCCAATTCTTCCTCACATCCTTATCCATTTGAATTTGGCTAAACTTCTTAGCAGTAACAAATGAATTACAGAGCAGAGTGTAGCCTAAGATTTATATCCACACACACACACAATCTCTTATTACAACAATCAATAAGTTAGGAGTCAGAAAGTTATAAGAGCTATTCGATTACTGTACTCTATGTACAATCAATGACGAAGAAACCTCGCTAGAAGTTAAGGAATCCATATCTTCTAAGGCACCAGCATAAACCTAACAAATGTAAGACTTGAATATCTGTTACTCACGGTGGGGATGCCCTTTAGATGACTTTGAAGTGGCATATCATGACGAAACTTAACTTTTTCAACTGTAAGCCTTGAATATCCTAACTTTTTCAACTGTAAGCCTTGAATATCCATTACAATATCATATATCAATTATTCCAATGATATGAAGCTAAACATGACCAAATAAGCTGAGCATGTCATACTCATAAGGAATTTTTACTGAGATATATACTCCCCCGGTGGTTGAAAGAGCTGAAACTTTTCAATCAAAACAAAGAATAGAAATATTAATACATATATTCCTTTTCTCCATTACTAATGCTGCTCCTGCAGCATCCATAAAATATTTATTGATGTCTCGACCTAAATTAGAGGAAAATTTTCATAACCAAAGTGGTGTCGTTACACAATAAAGATAACAACTGCAAAAGGGAATTCATTTTTCCCGTAACGAAATTTAAATTTATCTTATCACGTAATATTTTCAAGTCAGGAGTCACCACTATATGTATCAATGTTTCTAACTCAAAACGATTGACTCTTTTAAACTATGATATTCTTATCTGAAATTATCATTGACAATGAAATACTAAAATAGTGAACAAATACTTCAACTTTGTATCTCTCTATATTTAAATTTCAATATACCATAATGGATGACACAACATCAATGCACCCGTGAAGGAAACTACTGAAGATCTAAGTGTAAGAGACGTTGAGATTATAAACTTCTTTTTGAATAAAAGAGTGATGTTCCAACATTGTTATTACCAAAAAATCACAAAATAATGTAAAGTGAATGAGTCTTCAAAGATATCCTTGCAATTTCATTTTCTTTTATGTTACTTTGTCACATAAACTTGCGATTCAACAATCAATATTGGTTGAAGCTGCAAAATTTATTGTAAGACATCAGACAAATTTTGTCTATTAGGATTACTTATAGTTCTACTTGGACTCATTAGCTTCTTGAATTTGCCTAACAAGAATTTGATTTGCCATGCTTGTTGCTTTCCTTTTCGTTTATCTTCTCTGACTTTGTATCTCTATTGATGTGTAACTGATCTAATAACTTTGAATATTTTTTCACAGTGATACAAGAATAAAGTAGTATTTTTTCCAGTTTGACATATTTAAATTTCCTTTTTTTTTTCTAAGTTAACATATTTAAAGCTCCCTATGTATGTATATACTGTTAAATGGAAATATGTGTTTATCATCAACTTGATGCTTTTTTCTCTTTCAGTAAAATGCAGGAAAGTTTCCTTTTTGTTAAGAAGAATTAACTAAATGCTGATTTTCAACAGAAAGTAAAGGAAAACTAACAGTTTTTAAGTAAATATCAAGATCACATTAGGTTTTGCTGCACATTTTTTCACATGAATCATGCGTAAGCATAGGCAGTTTTGCTACTAATCAAAATTAGTTTCTTAATTGGTTGACTTATGGGAATATCATATATGCCAATACAAATTTTATGAAAACATTAGAGACATCTTTAAAGTACTATATTAAAAATATGCTAAATTTCCTCAAGTAAACAATGCAAGACATTTTACCTTTAATAAGAAAAGGAGCCTGAAAACTTCCAGTAAAAGATGACAACGCGTCAATACACAAACCTTTACAACAACAAAACTATCATCCAGTATTATGACATCAAGCTTTATTTGGCGACCCTGTTCCTTGAAGCCCATAGCTAGACCAATATCAACCTTCAAGACAGATGCAAGACAAATTATTATGGAAAATATCTTAGCCAAACTCGCATGATAGAGACAATGAGAGTGAACATGACAGCTTAATTTGGAGGGTAGAAAGCAAAACTACGAATAAAAATTTTGAACATCAATTAGTACAATTTTAAGATGCATATAGGCAAATATAGACTTTTTCTATCCGATTCCAACTTTCCAAAATATGAGCTCATTCATCTATCAAATACAATTTGTGAGAAAGAAGAAAATGAAGAATAAAAAGGGCGAATGATGCTACTTTAAAATTCAGAAATAACACATCAAAAATGAAATGCGTCAGCATTCATAAAACAAAAGAACAGATTGAATGAAAGTTTTACTCCTTCGATCCAGCAAGACCCGAAAAGGATAGCGCGTCAACTATTATAATAACAAATTAGAAAATATTAAAACCATCATTAAATTCCGAGTCAATTTCTCGGAAGGTCACTGAAAGAAATTGTTTGTGAAAGCCACTTTACTTTGTTTTGTAACTAAAAAATTATTATATTTTGCCAATTGTAACTCAAAAGTCAATCGACACTTTTAGGGCATATTAAATATTGTTGTTCATATTTCTTTTGCAACCCAACCATTTAAAAGATTAGAAACATCCATTTAAACATGACCCAACCTGCTAAAGGAAAATCGAAAATTGCTGTGACTAGATTATTTCGTAACAAATCCATTTAAGAAATAGTAACTCATTAAGTAGCAATAGATAAATGTGGATCAGTTTTTAAAGTATATAAAGAATTACGTAGAGAGAAGTAGGAATTGGGTCCTTGCCTGTGTTGGAGTAGAAGAAGTTTATCCCACTCTAATATGCAGCAGACCAATTTACCTTGCAATTCAACCCAGTTTGAAATCAATCAGTCAAAAAGTTCGTATAGGAAGATGGCAGAGCAACTAATTAATAGAAGAGAAGTAAGAATGAGATGCAGTTTCCATTCATACGGTCTTAGATGAGATGGACATTCATAAAATAAATAGATGTAATAAAATTCAAATGGAGTAAGAGAAGAATAAACCTGAGAGAGTGTTGAATCATAGGAAGAGAGCAGGAATGGAACATTCCAGTATATTTTGTTTAAAATGATGATGCAAGACGGAAGAAGACGCGTTTTAGTAAGCAAAGCATAGGTTAAAGTGAAATACCAATTATACCCTTGGTCGACCAACATTACAAATTTATTAAAATTATTATTTGTTGGTGTTTAGTTAATTAACTTTTGAGGTTTAACAAGCTATATTTTTAAAAATTATTTTTGAATATAAAAATATTTAGTTTGAAATCGTCTTCAAATAGTATGAATAGATGAAAATCATTTAATTTTTATTTTCAAATTGCTTAAGATAGTATGGGAAAATATGAAAATCTTGTAAAGATCTATATTTCTTTTTGTTGTTATTTTATTTAAAAATTAATTTTATTTTCACTATGGAAACTTCTATTTGAATAAAACAAAATTAATAATTTTCCAAAATGAGAAAAAGATTGGAAATGAGCATTTGCACCGCACAAATAGTCTAATCAACACATGCATAGTGCATTTAAAGGAGAGTTGTGGCTAGAGAAATGTGGGTTCACGTGTATTTTGCATTTAAGAAATGCAAACATGAAATTTTTATGAAATGACATATATGCCCTTGGTCAACCATCTTTCCTTTTCTATATAATAGAAATTAAGTAATGAACAATCAAAAACGGCTTTCTTAATCTTCGTGACGCAACAAATTCCTCAACATAACTTCTTAATTAATGGTAAGGGAGTAATTAACATTCAAAATTAGAAGAATGAGAAACGGCAAAACTAATTAAAATAAAGGAAGATGAGTATATCTTTGTGTTGGGAGTATATGCAACTGTAACTTGCGGCCATGCGCATGAAACATTACATTGAGGAGGGACTCAATCATAATTGTGGAGTAAGGATCAAGATATGAGAAGTTGGTTCTGGAGGCCATATTCATAATGCAACAATATAATCACCTCTCCACAGCAATGTCAGCTGCTATGTTTTAGACGTTGACGATTTCAGCAATTTGCTTGTATTAGATTCTTTCTCAAATGTATATTTCAGATAATCTATTTCAATGTTTAGTAGCTAGAATATGCTTTAAGTTTCACAAGACTGGTGTCATGTACTTTTAATTTACTATAATTCTATTTTAGAACTGGTTTTTTCTTTTATTCAGTTGTATGAAACGTTGATGTATTAATTACTGTTATATATATGTGGCATTAAATTTCTTATTTCAGGATATTATTTATGAATAAGATTTTGTTAGACTTATATAGCATCATCTATCTTCAAATCAAGTATCAAAGCTATTGTTATAATGTCAGTTGACCGAGGAAAATAAGAGTATCAATATGCTTGAGACTTCAAATTCTTAAAATATACATATCTTGTGATGATTTTTTATTAAATTTGAATTAGTATAATTTTAGAAAAATAAACAAGTATTATGAAAGTACATCAAAAACTAAAAGTGTTGAGAATACCAACTTCAAGTTTTTGACTGCCAACTAGCTAGCAGGCAAAGATGTTATATTTCTCTAAATAAGAAGGAAGTAGAGAACGAAGTAGGTATCTTAAAATAAGAATAAATTAAATTTTTTGTTGGATTTTCAATATTTGTTATTCTTGTAACGATTATAATATCATAAAAACTGAATTTTTTTTATTAAAATACATAAAGAACAAAAAGTTGTGGTGCATATTTGTGTTCAATATGTTGAAAGTAGTACTTTCTTATTTTTCATTTAGTATTCTATGTCTATATTTATATATTATATAAAGTTGATCATAATTAAAGTGACGTGATACCCTCTAAGGCCACGAGTCGTATATGATAATATTATGATAATATTGAAAAACTTTTCCAAGTAATAATATTATGTGATTTGTATATTTTATGTTCTCTAATTGAAAAAATATTTCTATCAGCTTGAATATGGTGACTCCAGAGTTGTATGGAATCATATACACTATAATATTTGACAAATGATTTATTATGCTGTTACTTACAATTTTCAGAATCATCGCTGGCTTTATTTTGAATATTCTCATACGATTAGGGTTAGAAACTTTACTTACAATTTCCATAGTCATTTCTTGCTTCAATTTTTTCATGTGATACAAAATTAAAGAAAAATATAAAATTAAGTATAAATAATAAGATGAATTCTATTTAAAATATAATCTATTTTGACTTGGATCAAATATTAGAAAAAGAATAGTTCATAAATTTGATGTAATTTTTTATGATCGCGCGTAGCGCGAATAAGTTGACTAGTGAATATCATAGAATTGAATACAATGTATACAGTAGAATTGAATAGAACGGTATACACCATATTTCTTGATTTATTGTTGTTTGAATACAACTGAATTCAATATATATCAAAATTGAATACAATTCAATATTACACCTTCCGTTATTAAATACCCATCATCACTACTTTTTAGGTGAATTACCTCACTGTATTTATATATACAGTCACACAAATACATTGAATACAGAATTAAATAATTGTAATCCCTATTTTTTAGGCAGATTACCTCACTATATTAATACAGTCGCGCGAATACATGGCATATATCACAGTAGCAACAAAATTTTGTAAAATTAATTTAGTTGAGTTAAATTAGGAGTGATACACACTAATTGATCCCTGCGAATATAGTCCAATAACATGAATTTGTTGGCCAAAGCAAATTACAGAATGATACAGTAACAATGTCCTTTTCAGGCTCTGCATTTCTTTTGGAAGCTCTGTTAACAATAATGCAAAATCATCAACTAAATTCGCACTGATTGCAGATCTCATTAGGAAGCATATTATTGGACCAAAAGAAGAAATGTAAAATGCAGTTAAGACAGCACACTTTGCTTTTTCACTTTTTTTACTCTTCTAAACTTTTTTTCTTTCTTTTTTCCTTATCAAGAATGAAATTTCAAATGTCTCTAATCCAATAAACAACCCATCCACCATTCCACCTTCTATTCACAGATTCCAGCTCGAACTTGACAGTAACTCTTCAGATACCTGGACCCAACAATCTGATAATAATTACTTCAAAAATCTAGTCCCACAACATTTACCCAAAGTCTTTTCCGCGCAGCCATATGGAAAGAACACTAAAAGCAAAACCAGTAACACTCTGTTCATGATTACGTGCACATGTCTCCCTATCTTGACTGATGCACCAGATGAAGCAATCATGTACGATGCTAAGTATGTCTGCTGGACTTCAACCAATCCCACAAAGAGCTGGACTCTCAGAGAGATAGGACTGGGGAAACTTCTATAATTAACTAAGCCGTACTAGAATCTCCATTAATCTTAGATTCTGCTCGTACATATGTCATACTCCGAGGAATGGGAGAAGGAACTGCATTAATTGAGGGTGTTAACAAACCAGAATTCTCGGCCGATGTAGGCTGAGCATCACGCTTCCATTGCATACTTCTAGCACCAGGCCTGACTGGGAGCCGGGACCTGTACAAAGTGGGTATGCCTCTAGGAAAAGGAACCCGACCAAATCTAGAAACTGCAAAAGGACCAGACCTTGTAACACGAGGCCATACAGTGACAGATGCTGCTTCAGGAGTAGCAGAGCTTTTCCTCACAACCTGCAGAAAAGAACAATACTTGGTGCTTAAATGAACGGAGGTCCCTCAAAAAAAGAGATATGTAGAAACGACTACCACCCCCCACCCCCCACCCCCACCCCCACCCCAAACTTGCACAACCAAGAAGTTCAGGAACAGTTTATCTTGATACTTCAGTTGCCAAAGAGAAGAGCCTTCCCAACGATTTCTTTTAGATAAAGTAAAAAAATTTATTAACAATTGGGGGAAACCCCGTAAACAACCCGCATACAAAAGAAGAGAACCTACACCAAAATATGGTTCTCAACAAAAGAGGCCCAATCCTCTATACAAATAGGGACCTCATGAGTACACCAAAAAGAAACTAGAAACAAACAACTATTTTGCAGTTAGAAGCATAAATTGCTAAAAGAATAGGGGCTTCTTCCCATTCTTCAAAGTTCCCCAACTCATGGGGTGGGGCATCAAGTTAGTTATACAATTCACATCACATGGTGAAGAGGACACTTTAGCAAATCGTAACAGATTGCCAAAAGATTCTAGATACTGTTGGCAATGAGAGTAGGTACACCATATTCTTCTCAGTTCTCAACATAATGGGAGTGGACCCTCCTCTTCTTTTCTTTTTTTTAAATCTTAGTGAGTGGAATCTAGGTGAATCCTGACACTCCAATCACTGACTATGCTTTCCTTAAATAAAATTTAAAACCGGTCCGTGTATATGTTTCCCCTCGAAAGGTTCTTTACACTGGAAAAATTCTCCAAAACAAGTGAAGATCTAAGAAGACACTTGGCCTCCATTTGGATGCCAGTAATTTCAAAAAGGCCTTGAATCGTGGAACTGGAACGAGTCTGTTGTTAAACAGTCGATCAATCAAATACTCAATTGCAAACAAGTTGAGTCAACCATATGAATTCTCTAGAACCATTCAGGTCATTCAGGCCCAAATCATTTCAATACTTGTTTTGTAGCCTGTGGTCCACAATTCAACCTTAAAATGTAATTTGCCGGGAGTAGTATGTCCTACATCATGTACTTTAGGAAAACCTTGATTAAAAAGTACTATCTCAAATTAGAGAGTGTAGGAAATGCTTAAAGCAGCAAAGCTACTAACAAAAGTCAATTGGAATTACAGTGTTCTTATGTTGAATTGAACTTAGAAATAGATCAAACAACAAACTGAAAAAGAATGGATAACAGATTGAATCACAAGATTTACCATTCCAAATAACCAGAGTATTGTTTCCAGAATAAAGGAATGCAACTCTTAACTCGCTACGGGGTCAGTGCATCATCATAACTGCGGTTCATGCATTTGCACACCCGCTATCTTTGTACGTACACATTCTTAATGCTATACTGTAGCTCTCCAACCCCCCAACCCCACCCCCACCCCAAAAAAAAAAAAAAAACAGGAAAGCAATACAATGATCCAAAATTAGATACGTGATACACTTATGAAACTAAGCCTCTATGTGCCTTTCCTAGAGTTACCACTTCTGTCTTTCCCTAGTAAGTAATCATCATAACACAGAAGGTTGCAGTAAGAATCGCACATAAAATTTAAGAAGTGTTTTGTTTTATTGCAGTGTTTTTTCGTGTTAGCAACTTATTATTACGAGAATTAATGCTCCCTAAAACCCAACACATTTTTACTTGAATTCCAAACCAAAATATTAACAAGAAATTAAGAAGTCTCCACAAAAGTGACCAAGCAAGACCTCCAAACCACTTTCACACACTTTGTATACATCCCAACTAAAATAAAGCTGAAAGGTTATGCACCCAAGGGTATGGACTAGTGGTCAATGAATGAGTGCAAGCCTTGCAGACTAGTATGGTTAAAATTCTAGCAGAGACAAAATATACTAGGAGATTTCTTCCCAACTGTCTAAGCCTTGGTTGGTACATGTCCCGCTGGGAAGTAGCACGTACCTTGTGGAATAGGTCAAGCTGCCGTGCAAGCTTGACCGAACACCACCGTTATCAAAAAATAATTTTTAAAAAAATAAAGATGAATAGTTATAAGTATGCACAACTCGTAATCTTCCTGTCATTCACTAAGCATCGTTTATTTTTTATTTCTTTATTAGTACTAAGCATTGTTGATTTATACTGCAGACATACTTCTTGGCGGTGCTTGCATCCCACGCATATTGCTGAAAAGTGCCTGCAGCGGCTACTGAATGTATTTGCATATATCCATACTCCCTTTGTTTTAGTAGCTAATTTTTAGGTGATGGTCAGATGTCTGTTTGTCTTTTTAATACATTGGTATTCGAACCAGCTTATGCACACCTCGTTTATTCCACAATTACCTGCTAAACATCCCAGCAGCACACAACATAAGTCGGAGGCACCCAAGACTTAGGCAGATGGGAAGAAAACCTAATGTGTTTGTCTCTGTTGGGATTTGATCCCTGTTCTCCCATGGTTCTGGACCGCTACATCACACCCTCGGATGCCAGATGTGTGATGTTTCTTATATTGTGATAAAATTCATGACAAATTTCCTTGTTGAAGGTGATAATTTTGGAAAAGTGAGCTTTTACTCATCTTTGAGAAACTCAAACGCTATATAGCATTAACATCCTGCAGCTCCTGCAGAAGGCTTCGGAGTGCACCATCATATCTGTTGACTTTCAGCACTCAACAGTAAACTGAAACTGCACGGAACAGATCAACCTCTTTTATCTTATTAGTTTAAGCTGTATGGAAGAGTGGTTACCATTTTTATACAATCCACTTTTCAACCCAACCAAATTAGAATGCTAGTCATCAGTATGAAAACCAGTTAACTTGTAGCTGAAGAAATAACTGAGACTTGAAGGGAGTGTTAAAGGTCCAAAAATAAAAACTATAAAGTGGAAAAAAGAGGGAACTGTTCCACATCACACTGCAGTCAAGACAAAATCAATGCACCAACTTATGACAATTAATATCATCAGTTTTTGGAAACATACCTTCAGAATGCGGGACATGAACGATGTTCCATCAAGAGATAAAGCATTCTCTGCGGATTCTTTTCTCATGAACTCTACGTAAGCTGACCTGTTTATGTTATATGTTTAGACTTTAGCACTCAATAATTTCAGATAAAAGTCTGATAAAAATGATGAAAACAATAACTGACCCTTTGGGTTGCCCAGTTGCTGCATCAGTCAGGATGACCACTTTAAGCACTTCCCCAAATTTATTGAAGTGCCGAGAAAGACTATCCTTTGTAGCAGCAAAATGAACCTAAAACAAAGGAGACAAAATAAATACTTTTCAGCAATTAAGCAAGGATATATCTAGTGAATAAGCACCCACAGTTAATTGACAGAAACTTACATTGTTGACAAAGATGGTCCGTGAATCAGCATCTTCTGTAGGTGGACCAGTAGAATACAAACCTGACATACCAGAAAATGACCTACACATAAGATAAAGAAACAAAGATGGCACTAGGGCATTGCAGAAAGGGAGTACTAAACATATATTAACGCAGTAATAGAGCAATTGATAGTACTTCACCTCACACATAAGTTAGAGTATTACACGGCACGCACAACACATAATGAAAGCAATAAACTCTAAACCCAATCCTAATATTAGATTGACAATGCCCTAATTAATCTTATTCTTTATCTAAAAATAATTTCAGTATGCTTTTGCCATGCCTAGAAAGTAGAAACACACAGAAGTAGAGATGATCAAACTCACCCTGATAAATAGAAGCCATCTTTTGAGATTCCTTCTGTGTGTCCGCATATGGTTTCACCTAGCAAAGAGCATATTGTTTAAGTATTTTCTAAAGACTACAAAGATTCAACCATAATGATTCATAACAGATTATAGATGTTTACATTTCCATTAGTAACTGCAATAGGATTAGTGCTTTCTTTTGTCAACAGCATGTCAGGTTCGCTGGCCAAGCCTTCGCTGCTCTGTGTAGATCTCTGATTCTCTATCTCCAATGCTTGTCTTGCCTCCTGATACTGAGGTGATTTCCAGGTATTCACATTTAATGGAACATTCATTGGCTGGTGAGGAGCACCAGGAGCAAATGTTGGTCGATCTTGGTCCTTCTGTGACTTGTGCAAAATATCATTGGCATTGTCAGTAACACCATACTCGACTACAAGTGGAGTCTCGCCTATGTTTTTAAAACGTGCACCAGTTCTCGAGGCATTTATAGCCCCTTTATTCACAATGCTGATACCATGATCAGCTTCTTCATCTAATGCTGAATCATAAAGCACTGCAGTATCATCGTTCAACGTAGACTTCCCAATATGCTTTCCTCTATAATTACTTCTGTGAAGGTAAGTTGAGGCATCAGCAAAAGATTGATCTTGTACATCTTCGGCAACAGCTTGATTAGATTCTTCCAATCTGCTTGAAGGATCGAGAGCGCCAGTAGCACGACCCAGCCTGTCAAACACATTAGCCGACGATCTAACTTTTGCCACATCTTTTGCAGCTTCTGCAACGGCTCTTATAGCGGTGGCCATGGCATTTGGTGCTCTTGCAACCGAACGTATCCTCTGTGGGCGTTCTTGAAGGGATGAGTCCTCCACAGATGTAGAGACCACAGAGCGAAGACGCTTTAGTGAAGGTGAGGATTCTAGATTGGAATTGGATGGCCTAGAAGTAGCCACGGCATCTCTTACTGCAAATTGCAGCAGCCTTCGAGTAGCAGCAATTGCTGGTTGACGAATGCCTTCCCTCTATCAAAAGCAAATAATTTAATCAAAGAGATTACCTGAAGTAGCGATTTGAAAATAAAAATTCGAGAGGACTACTCAAAGCAAGTTCAACCCATCAACAATCCAATCCAAAATTATCATATGATTGGAAATCTTGGTTCTCCCAACTAGCACCACCCAACCGCAAAACAAAAGGATACAACAATTGCTAAGAAGGAGCGAAGATGGACTTGTACGGAATAAATTCTAGAGCACGGTTGGTGGAATAGTTTCATTGAGATACAAAACTAGATCAAACATCATTTTCTCTTGCTCTTTTAAAGTAGATTAGAAAAAACTCTAGTACTGAACTTGATTCAGTTTTTATGCAATTCATCTTGCAATCAGCTTACTCAATCCTTATTCAATAAAGTTATCCACATTCTCTTATACAAAAAAATAAAAAATAAAAAAGCGTAACCATGATTTATATTGTATTATATGATAGGGAGTCTGTCTATGTACAGCAATAACAGCAAAATAATATAAAAATTACTAAAAAGTAATGTTAGCACTAAAAATACAATAACATTAGAAAGACTATAATTAATAGCAACAAGCAAAAAGTAGCAGCCCAGTACACTAAGCTCCCACTATGCGCGGTCTGGAGAAGGGTTGGACCACAAGGGTCTATTGTACGCAACCTTACACTGCATTTCTGCAAGAGGTTGTTTCCACGGTTCGAACCCGTGACCTCCTGATCATATGGAGGCAACTTTACCAGTTACGCCAAGGCTCCCTCTCAACAAGTAAAAAGTAGCAATACACTAAAAGTCAACAACATTCTAGAAATTTTGAAAAGATAGTAGCGCCGGGACACAACCAGAGCAAATCACAGGTAGTAATTCATTTATAACTTTGTTCAAATTGGCATGGAGAAAAGCATAGGATAAATGATACTAGAAACAAGAAAACCTAATTAAAGAAGAAAAAGGACCCCACACACCCACAGAGGAAGGGAGATCACGATCCTGTCAATATGGCAATATAATACATACCATAATACGGAAAAAAACTAGAAATCAAATCTGCAAACAAACCTTTATATGGTCCCAATTAACAGAACTACTAAATAAAAAGTACCCAGGCCACAAGCTTATTATTGTTTGTAATCCACCCACAAGTAAAGGTACTCTCAACAACAACAAAAGCATTAAACATTCATCACTTGTAAATAACTTGACTCTCAGTTAAAACAAATGTATAGATGTGGCGGAAAGTGATTTTTACTTTTTATCTTTTTTTAGCAGAGGAGGAACGTGATTTTTTAAATTATGGTGGTGTCCAGGCAAACTCTCGCACATCTCAATTATTCTCTCGGGTACTTGTTACCTCCTACCAGCGCTATACCCGATAACTCTGCCCACCAAGACTTAGACAGGTAATCACCTTGTGTGTGTTTCTTACTCTACTGGGATTTGAATCCTGGTCTCCAAAGTTTGCAACCACTTCATTGACCTCTAGGCTCCTCTTGGGTGCTTGGAGAAAAGTGGTTTAGCAAATGGCATTATCAACGGGGTCCAGGCAAGACACTGCTAAAAACATATCTCATTTCAAAACATTTGAAATCAACAATCTTGAACTTTCTTTTCTGAGGTGATAAATGGGTGGAAGATGTTATGGGCTTAACTGCTTTCAAGAATAAACTCGCATTAAATGGTATGTGATTCAAATTATTTTGCACGTCAAACTTAATATACCCACCACTTATACTCAACTTCAATTGAATCAAAAGATATTTTCATCACCCACATCGTCGCCTCCAGTTACAATCGAAAGACAAAAGGGAGTGGAGAAACAGTCCAAAAAAGGACAGAAAAAGTAATTTCTCCATGGAACCCAAGACCGAATAACGTGATAACTAAAGGACACTAGCAAAGCCTGTTCAATAAACCAACCACTCCATAAAACACATGAAAGGGTGAGTCTTAACTGCATTTTCGGTTCTTCCATAAAGTAAAAAGCAGCTTGTTACTTTGCATCACTTAATACAATAGGAATGGAACCCCCAGCATCTATTCAAGTGAATACTCCTTCACCTCCCTCACCCCCACCCCAAACAATGAGAAAAGAAGAGAGCATTATCGAGCCCGAAAGAGAAAAAGTGGCGAACATCACCATGTAGATATGTGCACTATGACATATGTGCGAAAACAGCTCTATGTTTAATTATGCCCAGACTGACAAGTAAAACGTCTAACAATAGTAGTTCACTGTAAGAGATAAACACAGGCATTAACTAAAGGACACAGTTAGATTAGACATGCACATTTGGGACGGAAAAGTTGATCAAAAAGTCAAAGTTCGGCACAGTGCTTGAAAACACGACAAATTTCAAACTATTCAATTAAGAACTCCTTCATGGTAATATCACAATTCAGTAGCACTCTCTCAATTCTCAAAACAAAGCAGTGCACAGAAATTCTAGAAACCTTTTTCGGCCTTTCTTCAGGTCGGTTTCTTTTTCTCTGAAGTTCTGGCTGGGGGGAGAGGGATCGCTTTGAATGACCAACTTTTTGATGAGCTTCCTCCTCCATAGGAGTGCTGTCTGCTAAAGAACTATGTAGAGTAGGGTGTTCAACAGCAACCAGTCCTTTCCACTCCCTTCGGCGGCTTCTAGATTTGTTTGATTTCACTTTATCAGCATCAGAGTCCAGGTGGTGCAAATCATTCTTTGCAGCCGGCTCTGCACTAATAGGTTTGTTTTTTGTTCCTCCTCCTGTATCAGGATCCTTTTGCTGCACATAAAGACCTATATTTGATCCCAGGTGATCCCACAGCCTACACAACATTAACAAGAATCAGAATGGTAAAATAATACTTAGAACGGAACAAATACTGTAACTGCAATATGGCTATTATATTACCAAGCAACAAATGAGTCACTGTCTTCTCCAAGAAAAACATTCAATTCATTTCTTGCTTCTTCTTTCTGCCTTCCATTTTTTAACAAGACTATAACATATTCCTGCAGGTGCATAGAAGAAAATTAGCATGATAAATTTTAAGGAGAAATATGACCCATAAGGAACACCACATCAACAAAATATGTGTGGTAGCTAGACTCAAAGTCTAATGTCATACAAGAATCTGATACAACTAAAATGAGGCTCCAAAAGATGCACGGATCAATATAATAAATCAAAGAGTAAGGATGATCAAACATCATGCGCAAAAGAAAAATACATGGATCTAAACGAGCAAACCATGTGATCCTCCACCTGCATTGCTATGAAATATATCAATATTTGTTGCCGCTAAATTCAGAATAACAACAAAATTTGAATAACATAGTACATGAGAAATCGATATGTAAAATACAGTCCAATAACAATTCTTGTGCAAGTTGACATTGCATCAATACTGTACTTTAATACAAAGAACACTTAAAGTTCCAAGCCAGAATATAGCAGAGTGGTCTGGTTCCAAGAAAAGAACTAAAAGCTCCTTTTATATAGAAACTGGCAATGGGTGTTCACTACATGACACCAACCATCTTGCAAGGACCTCATAGATAAAGCAGGCGTTAGTATGAGAGAACATAAAATTTGATACAAGCCCCCAGGGAACATCTGGTAAAATTGGAACTTTTGCATAGAAGTCAGTAAGTAAGGTTTGTCTATAACAGGAAAAAATAAACAGTTAATATATTTTTTTTTTAAACAGTCAGTATCTTCTGTAAACTGCTATTTAAACCATAAATCAGAATAAGGAAGTTACAAAATCAAATCTATGTGAGCAGTTCAATACTTCACGCAATCCAATTAGTTAATGGCAGCAACGGCAACATAAGAAACTTGCACCAACTCAATAAAAAGTAAATGCTGGTGAAACAAATGCTGAAATTAATCCAGAACTCAGTACAAAATTACACTTTTAATACTCTTCACTAAAATAACAACAACTTCACGCCCAAAATTTTCAACATTTTTAAGCACAATGTGTCGTAATCCAATATTATTTGTTCTAAGCCCTAAAAATAAACCATACCACGAGAGTATCATCGGTGTAGTCACCCATGAACTCCTTGAGTTTATCCTTAACTCGTTCCCGAAGCTTCGCGAATCCTTCGGCAGTGAAATTATTAACCCTAAACGTCCGATCATCTTCTCCATCTCCACTACCCATTATTTCACCAAATCCCTAAATAATTCGAGAGGAATTCCTAGATTATTTATAAATAATGAAGAGATTAAATAATAGGAAAATGCTATCTGCTGATTGGATGGGGTTTTCCGGGAAATCTAATTCAGTTCATGGCAGAGGAAAGGAAAAAAGAAAAACGAGAAAACCCAAAACCTTTGGGGAAAGAGCTCGTGGGTAGTGTTAAAAAAAACTTCTAACCCTATGTATGATGAGACAAAGTGACCTATGTTATTTTTCTATTAACCCTTGATGTTCTTATAAATGGTATTTTAGCCGCTAAATTATGGTATTAAAATATTTTTAGGGGTTTTGACACACTTACTCATAAAAACAAAACTATTTACCCTTATCTACCAATTTATTTTTCTATCCACTAGTCTTAGTGTACACGCGTTGCGCATGTTATTCGTGTTAATAAAAACAAAATTTTTAAAATAACAAATAATATTTATTGGTTAGAAAAAGTAAACAATAAAACTGACCGTCTATTTGCGTAAATTCCCTATTTTTTAAATCAAAACTATATTTTACACGCACTTTTTTTTTACGTGTCTTAGCTAAAACAATTGAATTATATTTATTGCGTCCTAATTGAACTGTATTTTTTTAACGTCCTAACCGTTAACTATAATTGAACTATCGTTAACAATTTAATTAAGAAATTGACCTATGTAAGTACAAATTTTTTTGATTTTGTATTCCTAAATATTAGAAGTTCCTACATAATTTAAATAAGGAAAGAAAATTTTAGTTGATTTCAAAGTACTAAAAATTACAAATATTATTTAATTGCTGTTATAAAACAATAAAAGTAGAATAACAATATTGCAGAGAAAAAGAGAGAGAAGATTCTTATTGATTTTGGGATGAATTACAATAGAATAGAACCCTCTATTTATAGGGAAAGAGTGACTTAGCCACCAAGTAATAAACCCTAGAATCTCTCTAAATATAGACATTCACCATAAATACAATTCTATTTATAACACTCCCCCTTGAATGTCTATTCAACAGATAATGTGCCTCGTTAAAACCTTAACTAAATAAAACCCAGTGGGAAAAAAATTCTAGAGAAGGAAAAAGAGTACACATATCTAACAATACGCCTTTTGGTTGCCTCGTTAAAAACCTTGCAAGAAAAACCCAGTGGGACAAAACCTTGTGAGGGAAAAAGAGTACAACGCGTATTAACTCCCCCTGATGAGAGCATCAATTCACATCTTTAAGCATTTGCATTCCAATCTTGTGCACTAGCTTCTTGAAGGTTGACATCCGCAAAGATTTGGTGAATAAATCCGCCATATTAACTCCAATGAATATGTTGCACCTTGAAAATACTCGCTATCACATTATCATGCTTATAGTTATAGCAAGATATCTTTGTGCACAAATTGCACTTAGGATATGGTACTTCAGGACCAAAAATTGTATATGCTTTAAGCGATTTAAATCCTTCGAGGATTGTCATATAAGTTAAGTCATATAAGTCATATAATAGACTTTAGATGCATATCAAGTTTTCATGTCATGCTAGACAAATAAGATACCGAAAACTGATTGCACATATCATTGACTCTTTCAAGTGTTTGAACTACATGTTCAAAACTATATGTCTTTCATATGAAACCAATTCTATTCGAATTGTCTCTTCAGATTTAAGATCCTCATATATATATTTAGCGCTATCATTGATGTTGCCGACAAAGATTTTATATCAGTTTTAACATTTTTTCATAAAGACATAACATAGAGATCTCTTCATTCATATTTTCAGGTACCTGAATCTCTCTTGAGATTTTATGAAGTGTTATGTCATGTGATCTTCTAGATCACTTGCCTCCTTTTGTTATGATCATTTAGATCATTTGCTCATCTTCTTTATCAAGAAGTTTATTTGAAACCGATTTGTCTATACGCTTCAAGCGTACCATAGATTTTGTCCTTCTAGGACTTAATAGGAGCATTTGCAATGAGAATATAGTTACTTTCTTTGGGCCAACAAATGCGTCTGGCATGTTTTGCAATATATTGCAAATGAATTATCCTTTTATGAACTTCAAGTTCATATTATCTTATTCAAGGATCTAAATGTACAAATGATAATTTATTCCACGTAACTTTTTCTCAACTATTTATCATGTCTCCCCCTCATGTTAGAAAAACTAACTTGTTTCCTCAACTTTGAGAACCCATCTTTGTGCGTTATGTTGTTAATCAAAATATACACCGCACATCAATCATAATGAGATGGAATTATTTGGTTCCTGACCCTGAACCACTTGTGAGGGGAGAAAATAATATACTTTCGTATATAACGTATATCAAACTGATATAGATAACTTTGTTCTCATAAGCAATTGTTTAGCTATTAAGTAGAGGCACTTAATAAATCATTTTGCTAAACCAACTGTGATGTAAGCCAACATATCAAGATAAACTGTCTTGAATGGAAAATATGGAAATTATGCTCGAAATTAAATTATTGAGCAAGTTACCTCGCAAAATACCATGTTGCGGGTTATTAATAATCGCACATGTAACCATCTCATAGATGCATCTTATGTGGTATACATGGCAGGTGAATGGGCCCATATTCACCTTTGATATTTCCAGCATTCATGGGATTCATTCCCACTTTTAGTTGGTCTATTAATTAATGAGAACAAGCAATGTAAGAGAATTCGTAAAGAACTTTCTAGTTCTTTAATATTTACCCATGTGAATTCTCTATTATTTTTGCACATCATACTTAAATGGATATGGGTAAACCAATTATGCCAACTGAATAAATTATCAATATTGATAAACTTTAGATTTACACCATGACGTGTGCAATTATCAATAAACTCCAAGTTTATTATGATATGGGTTTTTATATCAATAAACTTCTCTTTATTGTGGCATTCTTTTGTTTGTGTAGTACAAACTGGAGAATAAAGCGGGTAGCTTTTCACATACATATTACCCCGCTACAAGTTATAGTAATAGAAGATATTAAATCTTTCCTTTATTTATAGTCTCAATATAATCAACCGCTTTCGCGTATACTTTGGAAACTGAATAAGTTTCTTTGAGACTTACTACAACACAATACCTTATTGGTAATTAATTGTGTTTCTCCAAAATAGTATAATTGGCTCTTGCAGAGTTCTCAATTAATTTTGTAGTACCACATATTCATCAACACCCATATGGTGAATATCTCTTTTAAAGAGAAAGTTATACCATTATGGTTATGGTCAAAATTATATGCAAGATCTGTTTCTTGCATTATCGTTGTCTTTTAACAATCACAATGCCAAAATATTTTGGCGTACAATAGGTACGTGACCAATGACCATTCATGCCATAATAATGACATTATTTTCTTATATCATCTCAAACCTCCCTCTAGAGGTGAGTGTGGTATATTCACTACCACTAGCACGTTCATATTCTTCCAAAAATGAATATGTATTCATAAATAAGATGTTATCACATTCACATCATGAATGGACCATAAGCATCTGTATGTGCTTTACGAAATCTTATGTCAAATCGATGACAAACATCAACTTCACAGAGTGAAGGCTTATTTTGAGAATCCTTATTATTCTCATTATCACAATGATGACGATTATAATTTCGTCTATTGCCATGTCCACATCCATTGATACCTTCACGGTAATAATTTTGTCTTCTTTCAGACTTATCACATATTGCTATCACATTCTCTTAAGGGAATGAGAATGGAGCAAATTCAATGGGACATGTTTTCATTTCTTTTGCTCACGATCATACATGACTTTGATCATGGCAAGACATAGAAATTTTACCACTTCAGGTGGTTATAATTTCTTACAAACTCCATTAGAGTTATAATCAAACTTTGTTGTCTTTGCTTGTATATAAAATCAAATTATAGAATTTCAAGAATTTAAAAGAGAAAAATAAAGTAAAATACTTACCTTAAATCCAGAATTTAATCATGAAGGAAGTTCATGGAATAATTGACCATCATTATGCTCAATCCCAAAGCTTCTACTCAATTGGTTAGAGTCTCGTGCTGATAACGTGTTATAAAACAATAAAAGTAGAAGAACAATATTGCAGAAAAAAAGAGAGAGAAGATTCTTATTGATTTTGGGATGAATTACAATAGAATAGAACCCTCTATTTATAGGGAAAGAGTGACTTAGCCACCAAGTAATAAACCCTAGAATCTCTCTAAATATAGACATTCACCATAAATACAATTCTATTTATAACAATTGCGATTTTGTCTAGTGTGAAACCTATTTTTAAGGCCATTTCAAAGTCCTAGTCTTAGTGTACGTGCTTTGCGCATGTACCCATAGCAATATATACAACTTTACAAAATTACATTATTACTTTGTAATAATGTTAAGTTATATAACTAAAAGTAAAGGAAAAAGTGTAAGCTCCAAAAAAATTGATAAGTGATTATATAAAGTTTAAAATTTACTGTTGTTGATTTACTATTTATAACATATAACTTGATACTTTATAGATAATCACAAAAGAAAAGGAAGAGAAGTAGAGAAGCATACCTAAAATACATTAGCCTAAAATTTGAAATATGCTATTCGATAAGAAAGGAAAACTGAATATTACATACAAATCTTAACCAACATAATTTTTTTTCTTAAAGAAATTGAATTGGATGGTTAACAAGGGGAAAAAAGGCTTAAATGGAAAATAGTTCTTCAAAGCAATATAAAAGCATCAAAAACAAAAATAACAACAAACTAAAACAAGAAAAGACTACCAAAGCTTATAATTTTATTCTAAAGAATGATGAATTCACCTGCTAAGGAGCAATTCATAACTCGTCAAGCAAAGTGCCAGAGATCAACATGTTTTCTTATATTATTTAGTTAAACAATTAGAAGGAATTATAATTAAGATTATATAATATAAATAAGGAACAAATTTATGTAAGTAAAATCGTGTAATATATATAGTTCAAATACAAAGAAAAATTTATTAAAAATAAAGACTCCCAAATTGAAAAGGAGTTCAAGTGCTCGTTCACCTAATCTGAAATCCAATATCCTAATATATTTTTAAAAAAATAATATGTAAAAATTCTTTAGTTAAAAAAACCCTCCTAAACCTAATATAAAATGGTCGACACATAATGTGAATTGAAAAGTGTAGGAATTTTAGAATGGTAAGGAATTGAAAAGTCAAATCCTAAATATTAGGAAAATAATTAAATGACTATTTT